AGTGAACCAAGACCTATAAGGTTATATGGCCGTCATAAAAGTAGTTGACCGCAAATATATACCCCCTTTGTGTGGTTCGCACTAAGCTTACCGATTGGCAATAAATCATCTTCTAAACATTTCTTGCTCATATTTAACAGGGCCGGCTTTCAAAGCGAGTGGTTATTTCGGAACCCTCAGCGGCTGCAGGTAGTAAAGAAATAGTGGAGTGGTGGATTTTCATATTTAGTGAAAGCCGCCCCTGAACGAAACCACAAGAGCCGGTCGAGCTGCAGTGGACACGTTATTTACGACCCTAAAACCTTTTCTATTGTAAACAACTTAACTTCGACACAATGGGATGATTTTATGATGGCCATATAACCTTATAACTCTTGGTTCACTATACCTGGAAAGTCGCTTCCGTAAATTTTAGTGGCGCTCCTATCGGCAAAGTACTGAACTAACTGCTCAAATTCTGTCGAATTGATACCCATTTCTTTCATTAATTGTTAGTTTTTGTTAAAAACTCTGCTAAACAATAGATCATTAATTTTCCTCTGATATTCCTGTTAAAATTATTCTACGTATTTTGCATTAATTTGTGGTATATTTTGATTTTAATAAAGACATTATTATTTAAACAAATTGTACCACTAACAAACATTTAATGACTCTGCGCCCTGTAAAAAGTGATGTTTTATCCATGTGCGAATTTTCAAGCGATTCTATGATGGTTATGACTCAAAAAACTTGAAAAGAAAACATACAATGGTGCTTTTTTTACGATATTTCTCAACCATATTTTTTTAGTTCATTGAACTGGTCTCTGCGCTCTAGACTATGAAAAAAGCTGCAGTTTGATGTATGATACATCTATATTAATATCATTTTTTCATACAAAAAAAAATGTTATATCTCGTCTGATTATGCCGTTTTTACTGGTGTGGACTTGGAGAATTTAAAACCATCACATATTAACATGATATTCCCATTTTCGCTGCACATCGTTTCTGCTTGAACTTTTGAGTCTGCCATCGTAGATAAAATTGTTAATTATTCCTTGTCATTCATACATCTGTTTTGCAACACAAATAAGTTAGGTAAATAAACTCCTTAATACATCCACGATAGTACTCTTCTCTCACCTAATGCATAGATCGCCTCCGTCTTTAAACATCTACAAAGTGGTCTACAAGACGTAACTACTCATATAATTACGATTGAACTTCCTTAAGGTTAAGTCGTTTAATCTTAAATTATCAGTGGTCTTCGAACTGACCGGTAGTCCTAATCCGTTGGGTTATAGCTAAAAGGATTAAGTCTGTTTGGTAGTCGAACTTCCGGTTATTGTATGCAAATTTATACGACCACCCTATTCTTAAATAGCGGCTCTTTGATGTATTTGCAAAGAAGATTAACAAAATTTCAATTTTCTTTGGTATTTAGTCGGTACGCTTATTTTAAACAGGACTTACTTTATTTTTCGCGGTATCAGTTTAAAATGTTTTTTGTTCTCAAACTAGGACGTGCAAAAGAAAACCACTAGATCAAACTCGCTGAACAGTCTGAAGTTTGTAAACTTTAATGCCAAGCCTACAACTTCAGCTTTAGACAGTCTTTTATAATTGTATGAAATTTCGTTTATTTGGAGTTAAATTGAAAATACTGTGACCAGTGGCGTACCATTTACTTTTTGAAACGGGGATATTACAGACTTCTTCCGGGTCTCTATTAGCGTTTAGATAACGCGGTTAGTTCCCTCCATTGTCTTACTACCACGTTGCGGTTCGCTATTAGCAGTGAGATTAGAAACGCACTCGAGTGTTACTAATTTGTACTATAACTGCAACCCTCTACATTTTATGGTTTTACCTGCGAAAGTTATAAATCATAACGACATTGAAACCCCTCGCAGAATACCTCCCTCTGGTAACATTAATGGACCCCCATCCTGTTGTAAGTACCTAGGTTTGAAGATAAGATTTCCCAGAAATTTGTCTGTGCCGAATTTCACAAATCAAATTACTGCAATTCTTTGATTCTGAATAAATACATATGTATACATTTCTTTGCAATACAGGGTGTTGTTGAAAGGTACGTACAACAAAATGGACAGTTCTGCGTGAAGTCTAAGAAATCTGAAAAACTTATTTTGTGTTATTAAAATTATAAGGGCAAAATTCACCCTTATCCAACCTTTTTAGACGCTACTGAACGACAATTAGGTAAAATTAATTTATTTTACTTAGACTAAATGCTGCTATAGAAACGAAAGAAGATCGTTTTATCAGAGGCGTATAACGAATTTGGACATACATTTTAATCTCTAAAAGGAGAACACTTTTACGAGTACCTGAAATTTTTTTAACTTTTAGCATCCATACTTTGAGAGCAATTGCCGATTTTATTTTGTACGTACCTTTCAATAACACACTGTATAATATAAAAAAATTCAAAAATTGGTTAAATACTTAATAATGTTTTTTACTTTCTATGTGGTTCAAGTCGGGCCAACATAGAAGTTATGACTTTGGGAATCTACTGAAACATAATAAAATAATGTTATTTCCATGTTTTTCCACGGATAAGTTAAAGAAAAATTTAAATTATTTGAGAATAGCATGTCATCATAGTCAGCGTCACAGTGTGCAAAAGAGAAAAACACGACCAGTCGAGTCCATTTTCAAATTGTTAGTGGGGTAGCTGCAGCAGTGGCGTTCGTTGGTTTGTTTATCGTTAATTTTGCTCGTGTTTCGTTTGTCATTGGTGTCGTTTGGTGTGATTAGATTAATTTTAGTGTATTTTTGTCTTTGTTTGGTAAGACTTTGTTGTTTTATATAAAAAAACGGTTATTTATTGCAAATAACCCCTCCAAAAATGTAAAACGCCGACGCTACTGACGATCAACGGCTGCGACTTAATTTGTTTAACGTTTCCAATAATATTAAAATAATAAAACGAAAAACTCTTTAATTATAATTTAAATTTAGTCGCAAATTTTCGACTATTGGACATATATATATTACTATCAATACATGGCATTACATTTTATTAAATTGTAGCCGCTCTGTTGAGCTCTTTGGACTCGGTTAGTCGTGGGGAGTCAGTCCACCATTTCCTCTTCTGAATTTACAATTGCCTGTACGTTTTCGCCTGCTCTACTATTTCTTTCCACTGTGTCCGGTCCTGGATTTTCTTCGACCATTCTTGTATATCTAGCTTTGACAAATCCTTTCTTACTTGATCCTCCCACCTGATTTTTGGTCTTCCTCTTGATCTGTTATTGTCAGGGTTCCATTCAGTAATTTTCCTCGCGTGTTTGTTTTTCTCCATTCTTTTTAGATGACCATACCAGCGTATTCTACGTGCCTTTATCGCTCTTACTATGTTTTCTCCTTTGAGGATATCTTCTATTTCGTGGTTCATTAATGTTCTGTATTCTTGGTCTTGTATTTTTTTTCATCCCCATTATTCTTCTGACTATTTTTCTTTCAAATCTACTCATCTTTTCTTCTGCATCTCTAGTTAGGCTCATTGTTTCTGCTGCGTATGTCACTACAGATCTTATTGCTGCCTTATAAACTCGCAACTTTGTATCTTTGGATATTCTGCTACTCTTCATGATGCTGCTATATTTGAAATACGCTCTGTGACCAGATTGTATTCTTTGCGTTATTTCTACTTGCCGTTTGCCCTCATTATCAATAATGCTTCCCAGATACCTAAAGTTTTCAACAATTTCAAACTTAAAATTTCCTATTTCAATTTCTTTTTTGTCTCTTCCTTCTTGCCTCTTACTTGTTGATAAATATTTTGTCTTCTCCACGTTAATGTCCAATCCTCTTTTGCTTGCTTCATTCGTAATTACTGCTAGTAATTTACTAAGACTTTCCTTGTCTCTCGCAATTAAAGCTAAGTCATCAGCATATGCTATGATTTGCACTGACTTATTTATAATTGTTCCTTCCGCATGAGTGTTCTTAACTATTCTGTCCATCACAATATTAAATAAAGTAGCTGACATACCATCACCTTGTCTAACCCCGGCGTTGAAAGCAAATTCTTCAGAATTTCCATTCTTTGCTGCTACTACTGCTTTTGAGTTCTTTATGCACATTCTGACTAAGTTTATTAGTTTTCTAGGTATCCCCATCTTTTCCATATCTTGGACCATCGCGTCTCTGTTGATACTGTCAAACGCTTGCTTAAAGTCGACGAAGAGTATATGTATGTTGATATTGTGCTCACAGCATTTTTCAATTATTTGGTTCATACTATGGATTGCATCGATTGTTGATCTTCCACGTCTGAAACCATATTGATATTCCCCTACTTCTGTTTCCGTAATTTCTTGTAACTTCTTATTTATTAAACTGGTTAATAATTTATATGCAGCATTAAGCAGACTAATTCCTCTGTAATTTGTACATAAATGTGGTTTGCCTTTTTTCAGTATTGGAATTATTATTCCTGTGTCCCATTCCATTGGCATCTTTTCAGTAATCCATATACTCGTAATTAACTCGTACATCTTCTCTTCTAGTATTTGACCTCCATATTTAAACATCTCATTCACTATACCATCTATACCTCCTTCTTTGTTCATCTTTAAGCATTTCAATACATTGAAGTATTCTTCTTTTGTTGGTAGGTATTGCTCATCACTGGTGTCTCCGTATACTATCTGATTTTGGTCCATTATATCTGCATTGTAATCTCTTCTCAGTAGTTTCTGAAAATGTTTTTCCCAATCTTTACTATCAATGTTCACAATTGTTTGTTTACTATTCTGTTTTCTGATCTACTGATATAGCTTCACATTGTTCTTATTGTCTTTTTCTAATTCATCCATTGTTTCTTCAATCCATTTCGTTCTTTTGCTTAATAGTAGTTTTGTGCATTCTTTTCTTATCGTCTTGTAATTCTGGTATTCACTTTGTTTACCTGATTTTAGCCATCTTATTCTTGCATTCCTTTTCCTGTTTACAATCCACTCGCACTCGTCATCAAACCATTTCTTAAACGCCCTCTTTGGTTTTCTGCCTGCTATTTTTTCTGTCGCTTTTATCATACAATTTTTTTAAATGTCCCCAAGTATTGTCAATATCATTTTCTTCTACTTCCGCTGCCAGCTGTTTTCCTAACTCACTTTCATATTCATCTTTTTTCTCTTTTAATTCTTCTAAATTCCATCTTTTCTTATTTTCCGTTTTTATTTTCTTATTGACTATCGTTCTCATCTTCATTTTCACTATTACCAGATGATGATCGGTATCAACATTTGCTCCTCTGTAGGATCTTACATCTTGGACCATCTTTTCTCTCTTTTTTGATATCAAAGCATGGTCGATCTGGTTACCTGTAGTTTTGCCTGGTCGCATCCATGTCACTTTGTGCTCTGGTTTGTGCATAAACTTTGTGCTCACAATAAACATATCTGTCCCTGCTGCCAGGTTGCACAGCCTCTTCCCATTGTCATTCGAGATATTGTGCAATGATTGTTTCCCTGCTACTTTTTCCAGGTATTTCTCTTTTCCTATTTTGGCGTTGGTGTCCCCAATAATAATCATTGTGTCATGTTTTGGTATTGATTCACATGCTCTCTCTAAGTGGTCATAGAAATCGTCTTTATCGTTCTCGCTTGCATCTTCCGTAGGGGCATATACATTTACTAGTGTAATGTTAGCAATCTTATTTTTGATTCTTATCGTAGATATTCTACCATTAATCCTTTTAAAGTCTATTATCATATCTCTATATTCTTTGCTTATCATAAATCCTGTTCCATTTCTTCCCTGCTTATCTTCTCCGGCATACAATAGTGTAAAGTCCTCTTTGTCGACTTTCCCTTCGCCGCTCCATCTTATTTCTTGTAAAGCTAATATTCCAATATTATAATTTTTCATTTCCCTTGCTATTTCTTCCATTTTTCCTACTCCTAGCATTGTTTGTATGTTCCAAGTGCCAATTTTCGTCGAAGCTGTTTTCTTGTTCCGCTTTTTCCAATTCATTTGCCCATTCATATCCCTATTTTTAGCCTTGTCGTCTTTAATTGAGTTCAGTCCTACCTCAGTTATTAGTTTTTTGCAATCTTGCTTTGCTGTGTCACCTCCTCACTTAACGGCGACCTTTCACTAGAGGTTCGTTTATCTTTGCTCTTAACTGTCATTTCAAAGTGCTCTTTACCATACACCTTTCCGTCTATGATCATTTTGTTGTACCTGAGATATGCTGTACTTCCTTGCTGTCTAACTTGCTGTAAATAAGTTGTTAGGCATTTTCTTTCTGCTTGTACCTTTTTTGAGAAATCATCATTGATCCATATGTCCGATCCTTTCAGATTTTTTGTTAATTTGTAAATTTCCATCTTCGTTTTCCATTTTTGTAGCTTCACAAGTATTGGCCGATTTCCATTCGGCTTATATGTACCTATTCTTCTTATCTCAGATGCATCTATCTCTACATCAACCTTAACTCCCATTTTCGTCAGTATATTCTGAATTTTCTCTGTTAGTTTTTCCTCTTTTTCGTCGTTTTCGTCAGCTACTCCCTGAATAATAATGTTGTTTTTTCGGACTTCTTTTTCTAATAGTTCGAGTCTACTATCCTGCTCTTTAATTGACTCCTTTAATAACAGATTTTCTTTCCTTATTGTAATCATAGCTTCTGTGTTTCTATCAAGTTTTTCCTCCACCACTGTTAATTTGCGATTTATTGCGGAGAACATTTTCCTGATTTCAGTCATTTCGCTCTCTTCTTTTTCAGACATTTTAGTAGTCAATCTTCACTGTTTGAATAACACTTAGTCCTATCCTGCCCTTCTTTTTGCAGCGCTGTTTGTCCAAGCGATAAGGCTCTCCGCCCCGGTCGACCCGTCGAAAGCGTGACCTTTTCCTGCGCCGCTCGTGAATACTACTAGTTGAAAAACAATTCCAATGTTTACCTCTTAATATAGATGTACGATGATTAACACAAGGCACAAACACCCTTTACTATCTTATTTGAAACCTGTTATACTACACTACTTAAACTTGTAATTATTTTGCGCTAGATTTCACTTTCTCTGCACAGCTGATATTTATGCGTCTACTCTCAGACAACTAAAAATTATACGGTTATTTAATTACTATTTAAATTTAGTCGCAAATTTTCGACTATTGGACATAGTGAAGTAAAAATGATTTGTTGTTATAAATTGTAACATAGTAAAGTGGCCGTCAAATTAGACCGAATGCTGCCTGGGGCGCGGTCGTGCTGCCACTCATTGAACTGATTAGGATGGTTGTAATTTTTATTACTCTCAACTGTTTGGGCACAGCATATCTCTTATTTAAGTACTAATTGAATGGTACGCGGCATTCGGCCCAAATTTATGGCATCTATAAGCTGTGGTTAGGGGTTTATTGAGCGCTTGAGGCGTTCAGATTATTGTGACAGCTACTATGCTAACAGGCACTACTTAAGTAGTGAGATCCGAAACGCACTCGAGTGTTACCAATTTGTACTATAACGGCAACCCTCTAGATTTTATGGTTTTACCTGCTTCTTTTCTTTTGTTGATTAGTGGAAGGGTTTGTAAGTATAGTCCCCTCACCACTTCAATAAACTTTAACGAAAGTTTTAAATCATAACGACAGAGAAACCCTTCGCATTTAAGTAATAAGTAGCTTAGGCTAGATACTTCCCTCTGGTAACATTATTGGACCCCAATCCCGTTCTAAGTACCTAGGTTTGAAGATAAGATTTCCAAGAAATTTGTTTGTGCCGAATTTCGCAAACCAAATTACTGCAATTCTTTGATTTTGAATAAATACATATGTATACATTTCTTTGCAATACGGGGTGTTGTTGAAAGGTACGTACAACAAAATGGACAGTTCTGCGTGAAGTCTAAGAAATCTGAAAAACTTATTTTGTGTTATTAAAATTATAAGGGCAAAATTCACCCTTATCCAACCTTTTTAGACGCTACTGAAGGACAATTAGGTAAAATTAATTTATTTTACTTAGACTAAATGCTGCTATAGAAACGAAAGAAGATCGTTTTATCAGAGGCGTACAACGAATTTGGACATACATTTTAATCTCTAAAAGGAGAACACTTTTACGAGTACCTGAAATTTTTTTAATTTTAGCATCCATACTTTGAGAGCAATTGCCGATTTTATTTTGTACGTACCTTTCAATAACACACTGTATAATATAAAAAAATTCAAAAATTGGTTAAATACTTAATAATGTTTTTTACTTTCTATGTGGTTCAAGTCGGGCTAACATAGAAGTTATGACTTTGGGAATCTACTGAAACATAATAAAATAATGTTATTTTCATGTTTTTCCACGGATAAGTTAAAGAAAAATTTAAATTATTTGAGAATAGCATGTCATCATAGTCAGCGTCACAGTGTGCAAAAGAGAAAAACACGACCAGTCGAGTCCATTTTCAAATTATTAGTGGGGTAGCTGCAGCAGTGGCGTTCGTTGGTTTGTTTATCGTTAATTTTGCTCGTGTTTCGTTTGTCATTGGTGTCGTTTGCTGTGATTAGATTAATTTTAGTGTATTTTTGTCTTTGTTTGGTAAGACTTTGTTGTTTTATAAAAAAAACGGTTATTTATTGCAAATAACCCCTCCAAAAATGTAAAACGCCGACGCCACTGACGATCAACGGCTGCGACTTAATTTGTCTACAGTTTCCAATAATATTAAAATAATAAAATAAAAAACTCTTTAATTACTATTTAAATTTAGTCGCAAATTTTCGACTATTGGATATGCTGAAGTAAAATTGATTTGTTGTTATAAATTATAACATAGTACTGTCGTATATATACAAAAATGGATAAGTTCGATGGTACGTTTTTGAGAAGCCACTGTAGAACTCGAAAAAATACTTTAAAAAATCCTTGCACCAAACTGGGAAATATTAAACTTGGAAATTGAATAATTAACTTCGTAATTTTTATATATTTTAATGAACTGTATAATGATAGTCAACTTTTACTGTTGGCATTTTTTTCAGAGAATTCTTAACAACGTACCATCGAATCAAGCTTCAACACTAAAAAATACCAGAGTTATGAATTTTGGTAGTGCATTGTTTGAGAAATAAAAAAAAGTTAGTTTTAAAAGCAGAGGTTTTATTTTTAACTATTTAGACAATTACAACCAATACGCTACCTATAAACCTGAATAAACAACAAACAATAATTATTGTCAAATTAAAACAAAATCAAAGCTATTACAATATTGCACAAACAAGTAGTCAAGTAGTCAATCAGATTGTAAGATTGTCAATTAGGGATTGTGATTTTTTTTGTAGAAATAAATTCCTCCATTTGATTTCATTTTTCCTTCCTCAGTTGCAAACACCCTTGAGTCGGTAATGATCAAACAGACGAAATGTTGATTTTTGTAAAATTTAGGAAATATCCGGATATTGGAAATTTCTATATTTTCTGAATAAAACCAGTTTACACTTTGAAGATATCTACGTCCTGCAGTTTCGAAGAGCGGGATTCCAGTCTTAAATCTGTAAAGAGAATGTAAAAACTGTCAAATAATAGGTAAAATATTTACTCGTGACAAGAAATTCTCATTCATTAAGAAAATGTGCGCAAATTGTCTAAAAGTTGTATAATTATTCACCGAAACAGTAACAGGTCCAAATTTTTTGTATTCATACTTTTGTCAACTTGTCCCAATTGCTTTGTAAAGAAAGAATTTGAACTCGTGGAAACTCACATCTCCTCTTATCTAATCATCTCAATATAAGAACCCATTCGCCATTGCAATTATTTAGTCTAGGAATAAAATTTGAAGTGCCATCAACTTACGAGTTTTTGTGTCCAATTCTCCTAAAGCCCATAACAACCGATAGCTTTTAAAATATGTTTTCTTATACGTATTAAAATCAACTTTTTCCTAGGTAATTCTAATGATATACCTGTACTCTTGTCACCACTTGTTTCTTCATTTTCTTCTTCATCAGACGAGGTTGTATTAATCTGTTCTGTTGAAGTAGTGTCGATTGTGCATGTGTTCGAATGGATTACCATATTGTTATCAGTTTCCACCTCACTGGTTGTATCTGGACGTGCATAGGAAATCAAATCTGATAAATCAGATGTATCGATGCTGAGATTCGACTCCTAAAATTTTTTTGTAATAATTTACAATCATTTCGAGTTATTTATGCTTACCTCTGTAGTAATTTTGACCCTGGCACTACGCTGTGAGTTTTCGCAGTTACTGCTACTGGAGTAGTTACCCATTTTGCGTTTTAGTCTCCGCGAAGTCGATTTTAAAATATTTTTCTGAAAGCGGGAACCATATTTTGACATTATCAAATCTTCCACAACTTCTTTCATTTTTGTAGGGTTGAAAGAATCTTCAGCAGAACGAAGTGACGTACTGCCACTAAAGGTGGAATTGTGAATAGTTTTACTTTCCTGATGCATCATTCTGATAAATTATTCTAAAATAAAGCAGGCAGTATTAGATTGGTGATCATATATAAGAAACGTACATACCTCGAAACGCACACAACACTTGTCGAAATACTAATGTGATGTCCAGTCTCAGGTCCTTAAATTTTACGGTAGGTGGAGGGGTGTTGCTGTACCAATAGAAATGTTTGGCGAAGAGGGGTTGAAACCTTCTAGGAAAAGAAGAGAATATTGTCAGTTTTTCTTAAATTTATAAAATAGTTTCCAACTGTTTTGTGAACTTTCTGTTTATGATGGGGCACTTGTTTTTTCTACTTTTTTTAATGTTGCATTATATAGTCTAGTGGCGGCTCATGACCTTTTGAAATGGGGGACACACACTTTGATTGATGAGTTAATTGTGAAGATATAAAGCGGCCTGTTATTAGTATTACCAATTAATAGGTGAAATTGTAGACGGAAATAAATACAAAACTACATTCAGTAAAAGTGAAAAAGTATTTGTCTACAAACTTTTTTGCCTTCTGTCAAAATTTTACAGTGAGAATAAAAGTGAAACATCAACATTCAAATGCGACCCGATTCCAGCCAAATACAGCGGCTAGACGCGCGATTTCCATGGCAATGGTGTAAATAAAACAAAATGAGTCATTATTTTGGTCTCACAGTCTCCGCTTACAACATCTTTGGACGTAAGTTTTGATACTTATGACACTAACTTCAGTATAATTTTTTTAAATATGAAAAATTACGATTTTGCTATGACAAGTTGTGCATCAGCCACCTTTGATATAATTAAAAAAAAATCAATGTTAATTGAAATTGATAATTTTACTGAAAATTTTTTCAGATTTGTTTGGACAGAACAATAGAAAGTTGTTTAAGATTGAACGATCTTGATTAAAACTGCATAAAATTTTAGTATGGAGAATTTTTTGTCAAGTTTTGAGTTTCACATTCCAAATCGGTTAGGTATATGAAGTCAAAACTTATTCTTATTTGATTTAATTGTTGTTTTACAATATCATTATGTAATACGCAATAATTTTTTTTTTTAGGAAATATATAATACACTGACTGGAAAAAAAAACCGACCACCCTGAAAAATTTCGCAAAACCAAACTTTAAAATTATTAATTTAATTAGTGATCGTTATTTTATTAAAGAACCATTCACAATTGACACATGATGTATATATAAATTAGCAAAAAAAAAGAAGACAAATAAAGGCAGAATTAAATTTAATTTAACAAAATGACAGAAACAGAGCGACAGTTTGAGAACCGTCTGTAAGAGTTAACGGCATTGTTTTCGCGTGAAAAT